ATTTGTTGTCAAAAGTTCGCCATTTCGACGCTGGGATGGTCGGATTTTGTCAACATCAATAAAATGCCAAATAATCATACGTAACTCGTTAAATATCGAAATTAGAAGAAAAACAACTTTTATTTGAAGCATTTTTCGTATTCCACTATGAAATTCTTTCCTTTGATTTAACAGTATTTTATTCAAACGTCGGACCTGGTATAAAATTGTAGATGCGCATAATCTTGCAATAAACACGACGCGAGCTCGTTAACGGCGTCTTCGCCCCATCTTGCATTCCCATAACATTTTCCTCGGCTACCCTGTGTCTCATAGGCTTAGACAAATACAGCCTCCTCGCGGTTGATGTTATCAGCGCCGACAAGCACGCCTAGCTAACGTGTTCCGAGGTTGTTGCTCCTTCAGAGCCTCAGCGATTACAAACACCCCTTGTCGACGATTCCTGCCGTGAAACAAGCCCTTCGCCTCGGAGAACACGAAATTTCTTGGGACCGTCGATCGATCGATCGACTCGAATCAAGGCTCGAGTTCCAAAAGCTCGTTGGACTTCGCAGGACTCGTTTTAAGATCGGAAATCGTAAAACTTTCATTCAAAAATTCAAGCGTATTTTAGAATATTTGAATGACGTCAACTTTTTTTATTCTCGTTGAACAGATGACGGAAAGACGTAGTTTACCCGCGACGGAATGAAAAAAGTCGGCCAGGATTCCGAGGTCGGAAGCAATCTTTCTCGGGGCGAAGGTGGCCAGCCGACTCGTAGACAAATCAAATCTTTTCGGGTTGACGGCACCGCGAGAGAGCTCATCCATTCGATTCCTATTCTGTCTTTACCGTTTCTCTTTCGCGTTCCTGTAGATACCTATAGACAGTGAAAAGGAAAATACTCCGAGCGTTGTTCTTCCCACTTTGCTTCGCGCCGATTATAGCCCGTCGGGAATTCGAATATTATTCTTGTCGAGTGCAAAGGTTAGAGGAACGATGGGGCAATAACGCGGTTCGATAATCTATCGACGTTGCATAAAAATAATTTTAAATTACGCTTAATACGAGTTCAATCTTTGCACGGTAACTAGGTATTCGATTCCATTGGAAAATTGAATCGATCTTCGATAATCAAATACAAACGAGATGCCTTTGCAAACGATGCAGCGTGTACATGTAATTCGATTCGAGAGGTAATTATGAAAATTTCGTTTCTATTAAACAACCCGTCGTTCCACGAGGTATATACACTCGCAATTTCAATATCGCTTTTATCAACTATCCGCCTCCTAGATGGGATCGTTTCCCAGTGATTCTGTACCCGATTAACCTCGTTCTCGTCGAGATTCACTCTATCTTCCCGTTCAAAATTGCACCCATGCATTCCGGTATCGGCGATCTTTCAGCTTTCCTTCACTCCAGTTTCCCTCTGCCTCACTTTTATACTTGATAAAGCCTGTATCCCGTTATGGCACTTTAATCAATGCAACGCAAGCGAACGACACTAATTAATGAAATTAAATAACTCTGTTTTATCTTTCATCAAAAACTTCCCGCTGATACAAGAGCGGAAAATCAGATAAATTCTGTACTACATTCTATTTTGTAATTAAATTTGGTACAAATCCTCTGAAAGGGTAACAGGATTTATAGGTCAGCTTCAAAAGCATTCCAACCACCCTTAGCCTGCTGACCAGTTTCTTTGGCTGGCAATCTCTCATTTGCTCGATTGAAACCGTATCGATTGCTTTTTTCACGTGAACGTAATTAGGAAAATCTTGTTCACTCGAGTCGTAAAACGCACGAGTTGAATCATTTCCCGCAGTTAAAGCAACTTGAACGTCGAGTACAATTCTTAATTAACAGAGTATAATGCACAGGCAGATTTGTACAATACTAAACGTGTGAAAATGCTTCTACTTTTTAACCGAGGAAACATTTCGAACGTTTTTTGTTGCTTATCCTCCTTTTTTAAAGAATTATCTAATTATTCTGGTCGAGTGAACCGTTCTCGACTTTAATGAAATCCGAGTGGAGAAAAAACGAGGCTAGAAAGATGCCGGAGAACGTTTATTATTCCCTTTGCCCGATCCGCTTGTTCAGCGCGAATGAAATTTAGATGCAACCGGAATCCTTCGTAACGTTCTTTCATAATTTGGGTCAAGTCTCTGCCGCTTTATCCTCTATTATGCGTCTTAAGTGGTTATTTACTGAGGATAGTATTCCGCCTCGTATCGAACATCCCTCATCCCGGTGATACACTTTCTTTCATTATCCTATTCCGTAAAATATGTAATATCCTGTCCTCGGCATTTTAATTCATCCCGGAAGAGGATCAGGAAGATCCTGTTTTAAAAATCGAATACAACGCTTCTAAGGATTTTAATCGTAAACTGGCCACTAAGATAACTGAGAAGGAAATTATTGAGATTCGTTTGAACATTGTTTACCGCAGAACAAATTCGTCGATCGATCTGGACTGCTATAAGTAAACAGAGTCGAGGGAGGTGAAACTTGAAGCGCCTCGGAACTATTAACGGGGTTCCTCCTTCGACATCGACGAAGAACAACACCGACCGCGTTTGCATTCCCCTAACTCAACCCCTCGGGCGTTAACGCGTTTACCCACGGCAATTCTTGACTTCCGCCCACGAAAAATCGCGTTATTAATGTTCCTCTTTAAACAGCAGCGGCTCTAAAACATCCTGTGATTTTTTAAAATTTTTCTCCTAAGTAATCCGTATGCGAGACTGTTTCACGCGCAGTACCATACGTAATTGATCCAGTTGCGCTTTTTACACGTGCATTCGCCTATGAAACGTAATCCGAGATAGGAGCTCTGAATTGAAGACGGAAACGCGGTCGACGCGAAACCTAATCGACGTTCTATCGCTTTCCGTATTCACTTAATAAACCCTTCTGTTGAAACAAAATTTTTAACCATTCCTTACTTTTACAAGTAGACCGTAATAAAATTTAGATAGAATTCGATCGTGTCGGGGTGGAGCAGAGGATTAAACGAACTTGGGAGCGAGTCAATCGTGGCTCGGAATTAAATCAGGTGCAACGGAGGGTGGGAAGTTCGTGTCCAATGTACCGTGGCCGATGGAAACGGCCATTACCACGCTTTAGAACGGGAAATGGTTTTTGCGCGCGGTACCAAGCGTAAATTCGTCATCGAGCACGCGATTAAAACACCGGGGCTCAATACGGCGTTCCCCTTTTCAAAACGAATTAATCAGCCGGAAAAATTCATCGAGATTCAACCCATAATTATTTTATCAGAATTTCTGATTGAAAAATGATTGTACGAAGAGAACATTGTTGCGCAGGTTCGGGCTCCGGTTCCGGGAGTAGTGGCTGCGCGTCCAGCACCCTCGGGACGTTACCCTTGAATCGTTGCTATTCATCCTTGCCGAGGGGTGCGTTGGCAGCTTACGGCAGTTTGACAAGGCCGGCGACGCTTCCGCGCCTGCCCTTGGGTCTTGGCCTTGGTCCGGCTCCAACCACCGGAAACGGACCGCTGCCACAAAACGATAAGGATAGGGACAGCAACGGCAGCAGCAAAAGGAATAGCGACAGCGTTCTCTGTCACCGTTTGCCATTACTTCATCCACTGCCGACCTGCGATATCAGCAGTCATCAGGGCACTGGTTTCCATGAGATTTTCAACGCCATCAGGTTTGTCCAGAAATTATAACAAATATACTCATGACGAGATTTTTACTTTGTACATTTATATGTAAATCATAAATCATAATAATAATAAACACCGACAAGTAAAAGTAGTATTAGTCAGCTAAATTAAATTAAAATAAATTGCTTCACATTTAACTATCGCGGGAAGGTAAATTAAAAAAATATACGAGGTTCCGAGGGTCGCTCAGGGGTGGTCGTCTGGGAACTTCGTAGGCCGTTTCACGAAGTTTCCCGAGATTTGGTTCTTGAACAGACCGGTAAATGAGTTATGGAAATTAAGGAGACGAGCGAGGAGAGAAAGTGGCCGTTCAGGAAATTATGCGAACTTCCCACTGGGAAGTTCTCTCTCCCATTTCTGGGTGGCCAGCTTGGGGCATGATTCGCGTCAACATTGCAAGAGATTATGAAATATGAAACAAGCGTTCAAATTATTTAATACAAAATCAAATTCCTGTTCTAACGGATACAAGAATTTAATTAAATATCGTAGACACTCATACATGTCCAGTTAATTAATTTTCTATATCATGTGTGTGATTGCATTTGCATATTCTACGAGCGTCGGGAGTCATATTTCTCTCGGTTGAACAATTTTAAGGGAAGGGTTAGGGAAAAAAATAATTGTCACCTGGCTCTGCCAGGCGTTAATTTCGGCTCTCACCTGGAAATCGAGCCATTGTTCCTATTGTGCAGAGCACGTGACCCCCGAAAAAGGATCGCGTCCATTCAATTACGAGACTCCGAGGCGGAATTTCTTTCATCGGCCGTCATAAATTTACAGCTGGATCCCAGAGGCACTGGGGAATTTCACGCGAAATTCCCGGTGTAACCGCATCGAATAATTCCCGCGACCAACAGTTTTTCCTCCGTCCCGCCGCGACGTTATAAACCGGATACCGAACATTTTTCAAATATCGGCTAACCGCCGCATTTCTGGCCACCGCGTAGCTTTTTAATTTTCGTGCTAGCACTGTTTTTTCTCCTCATACAATTTAATTACTTCCATTCCGTTTTTTGTTAGCCGAACGACGGTACAAAGAGGAAGATTGCATTTCACATTTATCAGAAAGTTTTAATTATAGTTTTTCGAGAAGATTGAATTACTTGTAACAGGATTTCATCGCGAAGATTTGAAACGGGATCGTAAAACGGAAGCGGGAAAACGCGGGTATCGTAAAAAGAATCCGCGTTTTTCCCCTACTGGTCTGGACACACGGGACCCATTTGTTCCGTTGATGTAAAAGGCGGGTGGTTCGGAAAGAAAAGCGTTCCCCGCGTGCCCTTTTATGAATCCGTTTACGAGGCTCGGAACACGAAACGGAAGCGGGACCGGCTGCGCCCATTGTTTCACCCGTTTACGAACGGACCCTGGAACGCGTCAACCCCTAAGCGAGAAATAACTCGCGCCCCTTTTGTTCGCTTAATAATGGTGATTCTCAGAAATTTGTCGGAATCGAATTAGAAAAAACGATGGAACCTTGATTTCTCGTAACGCCACGTTCTTCCATATCTCGTAAATTTATTAAACCATTCACTTTTATCTCGAGACGGTCCCCGTAACCCTTTTACATCGTGAAAAAGCTGAGATTCCATTGTCCGCCGTGATTTATCCAGACATTTTTATGTTCACGGTTGCGCGATTTCAGAACGGACCGCTCAAAAGGGAAATCAATCGGACGTAGGTATATACGCGCAGAGAGTCTAGGAACGTGTGCAGTATCTGAAATACGTCGGTTGACCCGTGATCCATTGCCTAGCCGGCGCTGGCCGTTTATTTTCGCGAGAGAGCAACGTTTCCTCGGGAACCGAGGCCATACCCTACGCGGGCTGAAAATCGAGAGAGAAACGGCAACTGATACAGACCGCTTTGATTTAAAGTATCAGTTTTATTGGCCGAGAGTGGCTTATCCCATACCCGAATAAAATGTTTATTCTGTCGGCCGATTCGGAACACGCCCGGATATTTTCTCCATAGTGCTACACATCCAGCTCGCTGTTGTACTCGGTCGAATGCCATTAAAGACGAGCCATTAGCCACCGAGCTAATAGCCGAAAGTAAATATCCAGTCGGCAAGTGGATACCGTTAAATCCAGACGCGATCCAGAACTCCTTGGATTGGGTTCCCCATTAAACGCAGCCGGTGTGCTACGCATTGCGTTATTACATTCCTTTCAAATTAGAATGGGTTTACCGATTTTTCTTTCCCCTCTGCATTCTTGCAATTACCAAACTTTAGAATAAAGTTTTGCACGATAGAATTCAAAGAGGGGTTGCGATATGAAATTTCGAACTAGATAGGCGACGTTGCTTTTTGTTCACATTCTTTATTACGAAAATGGGATCATGGCAGCGAGTCAAGACAGAGAATACAATCTCGTGTTTACTATATTCAATTGAATATTGATCGATCACTGTCACAGGGAGCCAAACTGCAAGCTGAGGTCTCTGAACGTGTCTAAGTGTTTGCACGGCGGATTGGACGCTGGTTGCCTCGGCGAGACGATTAGGAGAGCGCGGAATTTGGATGCTGTGAGAGCGGCTGGTGCCTCGAGGCCCGCGGACGTGATGCCGTTGGTGCTCGCCCTGACCGAGGCGCCTTGTCTTCAACTCCTGGACCTGGCCAGCCCCCGGCTGGCCCTCGACGATCATCCCTCAAGATTGTTGTGTCACGCTCTTGCAAGAAACACTACTTTAAAGTTACTCAGTCTCGAGGGATGGACTTTCAGGATAGAGGTAAGTTCATAACAATAATTTCCATTGTACCGACCATGCGTGTAATACAATATTTCACACAGTGACTGGTGCAACGTTTGATTGGATAACATAAATGAGTTAAACGTCTGTGAACTGTTTGAAGTAATTATTACCAGTATAAGTTTAGAGTATTAATCATTTCGAGTTTAATTAGAGTTGATAATATTCCCGCATACATGCCGACTAGTAATTAACGCTAATACATTCCTCGGTTCCTTTCGAACCAACGGCCCCCCTCTCTCCCCCTCCGTCTGCTCCATCATCTCTGAGCCATTGTTGGCAACGAGCCATTATCTTCCGGTGAAGCACGAGCTGCGGAACGGTGAAAAGACAGCCGAAAACCCTTGCGGGAGTGGGAAGAGAGCGCGACCACCGAGTAATCCTAGCAGGAGCACCGCTGGATTATCCCTGAAAGTGGGTAATTAATTATCTGAGTCCATGGTGGAGGACGAGTGGCCTGGGCATTGTTTAGCTTGGCCACAAATTGCGGGCCAAGGGACGAATTCGACGTTCCTCGCGATAAAGAACGTACTCGGGAGCAAAAATATAATTAATTTACAGTTAAATTCGTTAGGAAAGCGCATTAACTCGACGGAGACGACAAGCTGTTTACGGACTCGTCGCCGATAATTGCGGATGCGCCTGGTTTCGCTAATTAGCGAGCAGTTACCGTTTTCGGACGTCTGGAAACGTTCATGAATAATACAGGATGACCCGTTTTCAAGCTACAGTTGTTTCCCTGGAAAAGGGAACGGCTTAACTGGAAAATTAGGCAAAGCTCGGTTCGTGCTTTGTTACGTGAATAAAAATTGAAGTTATTAGAAGACTGATTCTAACCGATTTGTGCGGTAGCGTCGAATCGGATTTCGTGAAGCGGTATAAAAATTCTCTTTGTAGGAATTATTCGATCGACGTCCGACTTTTTCACTGACCGAGCATTGAAACCTGTTTCCATAGCCGATTTCGCGGCAGCCTGAGCACTCGACTATTCTTCTTTTATGAAATCCTGACCGTTTTTCTGTTTGTCACAAACGCGTGGGACCAAAATCCATTGATAAGAACGACGAGAGCTTTTTTCCATCGGACCGATTCGGAGTCCGGTGTTTAACGACGGCGAAGGTCGAAAACGCATGGAAATGTCTCGGTGCGATAAGACGGATCACCGCTTATCCTCGTTCCCTAGAAAGGAGAAACGTCCGACGCGCAAGATTTATGCTCGCGCCCGCTTCTCCATTATTCCGAACGCGTCGCGACGACGCAGCCAATTTATTCGAATCCCGCGTAACTTGGAAGGGGTTAATGGTTGCGTAGCACGGCGGAACACCGACGCGGCGCGACGTCGCGAAGATGCCGATCAATTAACGTAATTGATCTCGCGTATCTTTTTCTTTTGTTCAAAGGAGTAACACAAGTGGAACGGAATCTGATTTATTTAAAAGCACCGGTGATATCGAGCCGCGTTGGAGACGCGCTGCAAACAAGATATATACGCGACGCGGCCAAATGGATTCTCCATTATTAAAAATGCCGTCGTTTGCTCGCCCGCGTGATCCAATTTACTTAAATCCGGATACTCTCTACTCTCTACATTGTTCCGTAACCAATTTCCCTGGGAAATAGAATACAAGAGAAATGGCGCATTAAGCGGACGAATCGATCATCGCCGAGCAAGCCGGACCCCTGCCTCCGCTTACTCCCGAACGCTTCTTCGAAATGGTTCCTTATTTATTATCCACCCTCGCCCTGCGAAACGATGAGGACCAGATGATTTATCAGTCTACGCTTTAACCTATTCCTCCAAGGAATGAAATGTTAATCAACCTATGGTCGCAGTCTATCAAAAACTGACGAGCCACTATTTCTTAATTTAATGTTTCCAACGAGAAGTTTTAATAAGAAAATTGATGAATTGTACACCTATAAAACATAAACAGGATCGAGAATGAAATGCATATTATTATTTCTAAAAGGTGAAACAGTTTCTAGATATTTGAATATTACCTAGTCTACTAATGAAAAATGGTAAGAGTAAAGTTCATGCCTCCACTGGCCATATTTCTCCTGTCGAATTGCGGGCGAGTTATCCGTAAATCACCCTTTAGCTAAGACATTAGAACAGCCTGGTTACTTTACGACCCATTTTATATGTCCTCCAGCCCCTAAATATTCCCCGATCAGGAAACAATTCGTTTAAATTCTCCTGCCCGAAATATGGGACTCTCGAGCCAACATAAAATACCGCGCCGCGAGGTTTTCCAGCCCGCTCAACGTCGCCGGTGATATTGCCCCGCGATAAATTACAACCATTCCCCGTTCCCTGCTCGCGACATCCCTTTTCCACGATCCTGACCACCGTCTCCGGGGATTCGTTCAAAAATTTCCATAAGAATGCCGTATGACTTATTCCATTATGCGAACCGATTCCTGTGAAACCGTTTATTCAAAACACCGTCCCCGGCAATGGAGAAATTGTGTAAAAGAAACGTAGCCCCACGGCTCTCTTCGACTCTTCTCTTCAATTTTTGCTGGTTCAGATATTTTTTTAGAAATTGTTTCGATCTCTTGTGGACGATATCCGAGAGACTGACGACGGAGCTTGTTTGAAAGCTGATTCGATTTGGTCGGTACGACTTTGGAAAGTAGCTAAACGAGCAGTCCTCGATTCCCTGTGACGATTCTCGGCTTTGAAGCGGGTTCATCGGTTAGCCGAGAGAGAGAGACAGCGAGGGCGGGAGAGTTTAATCGCGTCAGTAACGAGGGTAAACTGTGCAACGAGGGTAGGGTCGCGGAGGGGTTCGGAAAGCGCATAATTCGCAGAATATCCCGGATAAATTGTACAACCGTAAAATCCTCTCCCGGTGTGGCTCGACGATATCACGCGCCGGGAACAATGAGGCGGGACTGGGGCAGATTTAATTTAACGCACGAGGGTGATTATAAACAATGCAGCTCGTTCGAGTTCCTCCCCGGAATCCTCTTGCCCCGCGCGGAACATTATTGTTCGGGCTGTCACGAACCAGGATTATTTCCATTTAAAAAGAACCGCGCCGGTGCCGATTCGTTCAATTTATACCCGGCTACTCGCGATACTTCTCGCCGGACCCGAATGACCCAGCCGCGGGCGAAAAACAATTTTCAAATACGAGCTTTTTGGGATAACATACAATATCCAGTTAACCCGACCACTCTCTGTTTGCAGCATTTTACAATCAGAAAATTTATTTCAAGCTTTTAATCGATAATGGATCAGTGGCTCGTTAATGATTCCGTATAAGAGCTAAAGTATCCGTGGCCACAGAGAATAATTAATGCACGCGTCAACCGCTTTGGAGATCTAAATTCGCTGGTAGTTCGCGCTTTGATCTGCGGATGACAATCGTTGGTCCGTTCGGTTCGAAAGAGGGTCAAGAATTCCTGCAGATTTGATCTTCGAGGTTTTCTTTTTGGTAAATAATATAACCGAGAGAAGCCAAATAAGCGCTTCGTTATATCTGGCAAGTGCTCACGCCCGTAATTTCGGCCAATTTTCCCAGCATTATTCAAGCCGAGTCGGCATGTTCACCGCAGAAAACTACCCTCGTAAATCACGCGATCCGTCGGTGAAATTATTTCCACTGCCGGTCGGCCAAAAAAAAGAAAGAAGGAGTGTCTGGAATCGCGCAAAGAAATTCCAGCTGCTCCGCGCGAAATCGAATCATTTGACTCAGTGGGTCAAAAAAGAACGCATACAAAATTCATTTTATTATATTTACATCCACTTTCCATAAATATCTTCTTTACGTTCACATTGTCCCGACGCGCATCTCATGAATCTCGGAATAAGCTTGCCACTAGGTCTCGCGCTGCAGAAAATATTTTATCACGCGGAATTTAAATCGAAAGTCGAAGCTCGAAGTGACTGAAGTCCCTGCTCGTGGAGATTCCGCGGGACACCCCTTTTTCTCAGACGAATTAATTTCGGGGCGAGAGTTGGCAGCGGGCCGATTAAAATAGCGAACGGGGCGACACTTGTTGCGTTTATTGGGTAAACATTTTTAAACGGCCACGGGTATCTCATGAAATATTCCACGGCCATCGATTCACCCTTTGCCGTCAATAAACCACTTCGTAACCCTTTTTCTACTGAACTGTTTCAACGTGGTTCCGCGTGTTTCCCCTTGATCTGGAACGCAATTTTCCATCAGAACTCTCGCGTTCACCGCGGTGGAACCTTTCCACCGGAGATTCCCCAAGGGGGTGGCTGCGCCGGAGAATATCAGGACGCGCGACGTATTTCCACCGTGTCACCGGGAATAAGGGTAGCAAAGCGGAAACGGAGCCGCTTCGCTTCCCCGAGTCGAATCGAACCAGACTACTCGGCTTCGCGATCAATTTGAAGCCGCGTCTCTTCGCTTAATGAAGCCTCTCCGCGGAACTGTGTCTACTAATTGGGTCGCGCTATTTCGGGAACCTCCTATATTCCCATGTAAATCATCCCTTTACAACTCAATTTTCCCTCGTTCGTAATTTCAACAGACAAATGTCATTTGTGCCTGTGATGAAACAGTGACACGTTCTCGGACGATCGATTAGCTTGAAACAAAATGAACGAGGGCGACAACGAACACTGGCAAAACCGATTTAGAGATTAGTCGCAGCTTGTTAGCTTTGTTGTTATCTTCATCTTGCGAGAGGCACATGATCCTGTAATCTCGGAAGCCGTTGTGCGCCACCACCTCCGCTTTGTTCACCGACGAGGGTAACGTAATACCGCAAGCGATTTCGGCGTCGCGGCGCACATCAGACGCTTCCTTCTCGTTTAACACCCGTTCGATAGCGCGGGCGTTAATAACGACCAAGGATAGATCAAAGAGTTCTCCCTCTTACGCGAGTAACTCAAGAGGAAATATCTTCATAGCGAAAGCCCAACTTATTGAAATTAAATCAGACCGAAAACTTCCATTAAATAAAGCATTCGCATTCCTCGATTCCTGATTCACGGGTTCATCATGGAATCAGAATCTGTACTTGTTAATCATTATTTGAAACTATCAATTAGTGAATGATCTTTTCGTTCGGTACGAAACATTTAATTAATTCATGTCATTCGATCACGCAAACTGAAGCACTTAAGGATGTCCCAAAAGTTCATGTACTTTAGAAAAATGTATTTTCTATAATTAAAAAGAAATCAGACGTCGGAAGAACAATGCTAATAATAAATAGCTACGTGCTAAAAAGTATAGAAGGAAATATTTAATTAATTATTGACGCTGGCGAAAAAC